AAATCTATTTGAAAAAAAACAGGTGAGGCATGTCTTTCCCATTGAATTACCAAAAAAAAAATTTGTCTTATAATTGCAAGATATGTAACCTACCTGTCTTTCCCATTGAATTACCAAAAAAAAAAAATCTCCTACAATTGCAAGATATGTAATTGGATTGAAGGATTTTTTATATAAATACTTCGCACAAGATTTCTGAGTTGGGTATTTGAGTTTTTTTTTTTTTTTTTTGAGAATGAGGTATTTTAGAGTTTGTCAAGGTAAAAATGAATATTAACCATAAAAGGACTGACCCATTAAAGTGTTACTTTGATGCATTTTGTCATTTATCCTGTAAGATAATGAGAGGTACCCCTGTCCAAAAATAATTTTGCAGCAGGTTGTCTACAGGGCATGTCCTTCCGTAGCATTTGAATGGCCAACCATTTTTTGACTATTTTTTTTTTTCTTAGGGCCTGCTTTTTTTTTTTTTCTTTTCTTAGGGCCTGTTTAGTAAGTGTGAAAATATTTTTGTAAAAGTACTTTCACGAAAAACTCGATTGTGATTGGGTGGGGGTGTTTTTTCACGCAAATTAGTCTCTATTACATTTTTTTCACACCAATTAGCAGTCAATTGATGTGAAAAAACTCATGCACTTACTCACACACGTGGAAATATTTCCATGCGTAGCAAAAAATATCTTTAGTTTTTATTTGTGAGTGGCCAGTCCGGCCAATCCAAATTTGATGGTTTCATCTTAAAAATGACTGTTCTGTCCTTAGTAAAAGAAATACAAAAGACTTCCAAAATTTCAGATCTGATACCAGCCACCCTGAATTGAGCACGAAGATTTGATACCAACCACCCTGAAATTGAGCCGGAAAAAGAGACTGGAGAGATCTAATGAGAATAAATAAATAAATAAGAGATTTATGGAAATTGTACATTTTTTTTAACATTGCAGAACCATAGGTTAAACCTTACACGGTTCTAATTCTTACTCGATGCCTCTCTCAAAAGACTACATTTTCCAAAGGATGATCTTTCCCACTCAAAAAAAGTGATGTCTAATGTCCAAGGGAAAGGGCATATCATTATTTTGTATTAACTTACTAAGAATTAATTTAAAAAGACAGATAGATTGACAAAAAAAAAACAAAGTATGTAAGCTCATGTGCTAAATTTCCTTCTTTTCATTAACGCCCACTTGGCTTGTAGTACAGTGTGAGCCAAATCATGTTTCCCTTCTCTATTCAGACCATAATAAACAGTTCTAAAATTCAAAGTGCTGGGAATTATTCCATCTTCCATCATATCATAAATAAGCTGCAAGGCTTCTTCTGACCTGCCATCTCTACAGAGACAGCTTATGAACATGGAGTACGTCTCAAAATCAGGAAATGGCCCTTTCAATTTCATAAGCCAAAAAGTATTCCAAGCATCAATGGCGAGTCCCTGATTCATATATCCACGTATCAAAGCTGAGTAAGTGATTATACTTGGCTCGCACCCATCCTCTCTCATCTTTCTAAAGATTTCAAGGGCTTTCTCCATTTGTTTCTCCTTGAAATAATGAACCAAGAAAGAGGTATATACATGCACAGTAGGCGAAAATCCATCAAGCGTCATTTTTCCTACCATCTTCAAAGCCTCATCAACTCGACCTGCTCTTAACAACCCATGAACAAGGCTACCATATATATACTGATCAAGAGTACCCAACTCTTTGGATAATGCTAAAGCTTCATCCAATTTTCCTGCCCTGCATAGGGCCTTAACAAGCACAGAATACCTAAACTGATCAGTGAAGCTCACCTTAGAGAGAGAATCAACACAATCCCGAGCATCTGATAATTTCCCCACTTCACATAAACATGTAAGGTAAATCTCTAGAGTTTCTTGATCTGGTGAAAACCCAACACCCAACATCTCTTTGAAGATTAGGATAGCCTCCTCTACCTTTCGACCCTTCTTTCCACATAGGAACATGATCATATACTTGTATGTATTTCTATCTGGATTGTATTTCTTGAACTTCATGGCTTTAAATCTCCTTAAAGCCATGTTGGTCAATCCAACCCTACCATACTGAGCCAGCATTATGGTCCAAGTATCAGCTGTTATCAAGCACCCTTTTCTTCTCATTTCTAAGTAGAGGCTCTTCATATGCTTAAAATCCTTAGCGCTTCCTGATATCTTAATGGCCAGGTTGTATGTTTCTGTTGTGTGGTGATATCCTGGAATTCGACCCACCCAAGAGAAGAATCTCAAAGTGGAATTCCCATGTATTTGGCACTTGCGCATAATCTCATGCACGAGATGTGGTGTGAACTTTATTGTGCTTTTCTCTAGACCTTCTTGAAGTACACTCCAGTCACTAAAGGATAACAAAATTCGACATGCGTCTTGGAGATCTTGATCACTGTAAGTTTTTTGTGATGGGTGTCCTAGCTCAAGCTCATTCATTAGTGGTAGGAGCGGTTCATTGTCTAGAGACTCTAAACCACTGTTACTTGAATGAGTCTTGGTTTCTTCGCAAAATAGCTCCTGACTAATGTGTACATCGGCCAGGTCAGGCTCTTGGTTTTGAAGTGCAAAGGCATTGCTCATTTGCTTGACTAATTGTACTTTCTCTAACTTCCCTGCCTTTTCGAGCAAAGAAATAACAATTTGACATGTTTCCTGGCCTGCATTCATCTTGAAGCTCTTCATTTCTTTCAAAAGCTCAAAAGCCTGCTCAGGTTCATTAATCTTACAGAGCTCCTTGATATATATGGAATAAGCTTTCCATGTGGGCTTTATGCCTCTCTCCTTCATATTATCAAACGCTTCCTTTGCTTTGGAAAATTGGCTGTGACAAACATGTCCAGCAACTAGGGCTGTCATGGCCACAACATCCGGTTCCAACCCACTTTCTTTCATTTCTTCATAAAGCCGGCAACCTTCTTCATAAGCATTCATCCTGAACAAATGTTGGACTATGTCAGTATATGTTGAAACCGAAGGCAAAAACCCCAATTTTTTCATGCTATTCAATAATACACAGGCTACAGAAATCTCCCCAATTCTCAAGTATCCGTTGATGAGAATCTCATATACATCCCTGTCAATGGCACCCTCATGCTTACATATTACACCGAGAAGTTCCAATGCATTGTTCATTCTACATGCCCGGCACAACCCTTTGAATAAAACTTGATACTCTTCAAGGCTTGAATTCTCCCCTCTAATCTCATTTACCAACTTTATGGCATCTCCAAATCTACCAGATATAGAAAGGCTCTGCATCATAGAAGAATGAACTGCGCATTTGGGCATTCCTGCAATTTTCAACATGTCATTTCCAACAGATCGCACCCCAAATATATCTCCTGCCTCTCCTAAACAAGTCATCAGAAGCTTATACCCATGACTATCTAATTTCATGCCACTCAATGCCATTTCCTTGTAGAATTCAGCAGCTAGCTCCGATTTCCTTGCATTACAAAGGGACAAAACCATAGAACCATAAACCGTCTCGTCGGGGTCAAAACCCGATTTCTTCATCTCTTTGAAGGTTTTCAAGGCTTCACCAAGCTGTTTAGCCTTCCCATAGTGAGAAACCAAAATGGTCCAAGTCTTGATATCCTTTGGGCATTCTTCGCTATTCATTTCATCAAGTAATCTCTTTATCAAATCAAATTCCTTTGCCTCACCAGCAATATATAACATTGTATTATATGTTTGTGCAGTGTGTTGAAACCCTGGTTGGAGCTTGACCCAATAGAAAAATCTAATGGCTGCATCCCTAGCTTTGAAGCACCTTTTCAAAATTTTGTCTACAGTATCAGAATCAAAGGTAAGGCCAGCCTCTCCTAAGCTATGCTCCATAGAAAAAGTGGAGTTTTCATCTCGTATAATCTCTGTGATCCTATGAACAAATTGGCTCACATCTTGGCCCGTTTTTGCAACATTTCCAGGGTTTTCAGTTGAAATTTTTTGTGACGAATCAATTTCTGGGTCAGAGATTAGAGTTCTCCTGAAAGCTTTGTGAAAGACTGGATAGACATGATTCATGGGGGTTGTAAAACCCCGGAAATTTTTGCAGAGTTTAAAACTGAAGCAATTCGTTTTATCCAATAAATGCTTCATTATTAAAAAAAGAAAAAAAAGAAGAACATCAGGACAATACACCATTCTCCAATCTCTGAAAATCCATGAAGAAGCTCATTTTATTAAATTTCACATGGAAACGGAAAAAGACGAACTTTCTGATTCGGCATAATTGTTGTACAAATCTTTTTTATTGTTGACAAAAAATAGCAAATGAAGTAGAAAGCAGATAATAAAATGCGAGAAAAAGAAATTAAAGAAAAAATAAAGAAATAGAAAATAAATTAGAGCAGTGGATTTTAGAAAACAACTTAGAAATGGAAGTTGGAGGTACCTTTATCCATTGTTCCCTACTTTAAAAGTTCCAATGCCTAGGTGGGTTCGATACTAAAGTTCTTTGAATAATAAGCTCCAAATCCCATGTATTTCAACTTAGATGCTCCAGACCTGCTGCAAAATTTTGTCACAAAAAAAAACCCTAGATTCGCCCCTTCTCTCTGCACTCTGCAACTTTAAATCCAGGCGGAAAAAGGAAAGCTCTAACCATGAAGAACCTTGAAAAATAACCAAATGGTCCTAACCATTATTCAAATGACCAATATACCCCCATCCCCCAATCGTCCATCGCTGGCCAAGAAGAATCGTGGATTTACACGTGGCAGCCTTAGGTGGGTTAACTTGGTCCACAAGTTGTGCATAAAACCGCAGGACAGGAGAACAAGAAGAGTAGGAAGCTACAATCTACAATCCTTGGCCTGGATTTCAGAGCAAAGAAAGCATACATTTATTTTCATTCATGGCTTGGAAGTGGAAGGATGATACAGGAGGAGAAATGGCAACTACAAACCCCAATAATGAAACCCTAGGAGTAGGAGGAGGAAGAGAAGGAGACATGTGCTCGACTCGAAGAATTGTGAAATCCAGTTGCAAAACTGAAGAGGTGGCGCCCGGTAAATTCATTCGCAAGTGCGAGAAGAGTGAGCAGGTTTTTCGTGATTGTATGGGAAGGTACTGCTTATTCCCTTCATTCTGTGCGTTATCTTGTTCTATTTGTCTATAGAATCATGTGTTATGATTTGGTCTTGGACTTCGAATAAATTTTGGTTATCTTTGTCTCTGATGGCGGGTGATTTAATTTGTTATATGTTTTTATGAACTAAGTGTTCTTGAACTTGGTTTCTGTGACGTTCTGCTATTGAAATTGGTTTCGGTTGTGGTTTTTTTTATTTGTTGATTATTGGTAACCCCTCACTGATTTACTTGCATAACTTTTTGCTTTTTCTGATTAATTTGAAGGTTACAAATAGGATTGTGGCTCTATTGTCTGGATGACCTAAGCTTAATATTCATCTTTTTGGAGATTTTTAGGGGATTCATTAATTTGGTTATTGATTTCCTTCAAATGACCTATCAATGGGATTGTCAAATTTAAGTGTGAATATGTGAGTGCAAATCATGGTATACTGTTTGGCCATATCTGGTCTGTAATTATCAACGTTCATGATTTGCTTCTTTTTATGGGCAAAAACAAGGAAGTTTTATCCCAAAACTAAGCAATCTTACCAGAATTTTTGGATTATGATTGCTGCTTAGAATGATTACAAATTTAGAGCTAGACATTTGTTTGGATTATGATTGCTGCTTAGAATGATTACAAATTTAGAGCCAGACATTTGTTTGGATTATGATTGCTGCTTGGAATGATTACAAATTAGAACCAGACATTTGTTGCCTCAAGTGATTTTTTTTGGAGGATGTTTTCCTTAAAACAATATGTTTTGAGGACTATATGAGGAATAGACTTTGTCAAATTATGAGGTGCAGGATTGATTGTTGTTGTTACTACTACCGCTACTTTTACTATTACTATTACTATTATTATTACTTTTTGTTATGCATCAAATTAGATGTCAGCAGGCACGTGCTACAGCCTGTATGTCTTTCCTTCATCCAAGTACAGTTGAATTCGTATTTTGAGTTTGTGATATATGTAATATCTTGTGTCATATTTATTTGAGGAAAGGGGAATGATCTCATGATTGTGTCACTAAAATATAATGAAACCACAGTGCTATAAAACCATGTGGAATTTGTTTGACCTCAAATTTTTTTGCACACACTCTCATCATTCCTTTAATTCATCACAAAAAATAAAATTTAATTTTTGCACCTAGATATGGTCAAAATGAGTTCTCTCCAACAATGAATCTCATCCAGTTGGTGAATTTCAAGATCTAGGCCTTCATGAAACAAAAATCAATATTTTATTTTTCAACATTGGTAATCTAATGATAATAAAACTATGAAAAAAATTTGGAAAGGAAAAAAGTCCTTCTAAAGCATAGATCTAATCATCTCACTATAATGGACCACTTATATTAATTGGACTAAAAGAAAGATTTTTGTGGTGTGTTTTAAAATTTTTCTTTTTTTGTGATTTGTTCATTAGAATAAAAAGAGTGTATATTTGAAAACTAGGGTCTAGAAAATATGGTTTTTGAATATTGTTTCACTATATTACAATAGAACTGTTGCATGGAATCACTCCCTGATAGGTTCTAAAAGTTTATATTAGGTTGTAAGAAGTAAGGATACAATAATCTACTCCATCCGTTTTATTTGGATGGTGTAGATTTGATGCTATCTGAAAAAATGTGTCACTTTTTGGTACTATATTAAAAGACATGTCAAATCTACACCGTCCAACTAAAATGGACGGTGTAAAATACTTCAACCTTACTTCTACAAGTAAGGCTGCGACCTTATATGAACTGCACCATTTATTTTATCCCTTGAATATATTCTATTGCTTTACGAGGTAGTCTTAGGTCTTTTTACTCTTAGTCTTGCTATCAAGGTACATCTGTTGGTGTTATGTGTGAGGCTCATTTGAAAAACATATTGTTGGGAAGCGAGACACACTTGATTACTTCATGTCCCCCAACACACACACCCACCCCAAAAAAAAAAAATAGAACAAATCCAGTACCTTTGAACCAACTTGCCATCACCAATAAGTTGATATTAAGATAATCGAATACCCAAGAACAATATTTTATGCCATAAATTTGGGAAATAAGTTTGAAATAGAAGGAAACCAAGAGAAGCAAAATAAGGAAACCCAGAGAAGCAAAATAAGGAAACCCAAAATCACAAACACACACTAAAAACCCAATGCAACCACCACCAATGGGCAAAATACGTGGTTTATCTTAATCGGCCTATATTCACAAGCAACCTGCTAGGGTATGATTTCATTATTGAGAGATAATTACATGATAAGGGTTAAAACATTAGTCACCTTACTCTCAGAAAAGCATTGTCAATTCTATTTCCGCTACCATAAAACCACCATCTAACCAACCTCCAATGTCAATTCCATCAATAGGGAAAAGTGGTAGCTAGGGTTTGGCTAAAAAAACCAAAAACAATTTTAACCTCACCCAAAATTCCACCTCACAGTATCCTTTTCTCTCAAGATAAGATGCTCATTTGAAACGTTTCTTCTGTGGCCCTCGAAACTAGAGAGAAGTATCAGGGTTTGGTTTAGTAAAACAACCCCCACCCAAAAACAAAAGCCCAACTCCCCCCAAAAACCACACAAGCATATCCAAAACAAATAGAACAAATTCAATACCTCTTACCAACTTGCCTATCATCGATAATATGATAACAAGGAACCCGAACACTCACCCAAAAACAATATTCTGTGCCATAAATTTGTGGAATAAGTTAGGAAAATAAAAGGAAACCCAGAGAAGCAAAATAAGGAAACTCAAAACCACAAAAACACACTTAAAGCCACAACAAGAATCACTACCAATACACAAGTTATGTGGTTCATCCTAATCGCTCTACATCCACATGCAATGTTCATAGATGCAGTTTCATTATTAAGGGGGAATTGCAAGATAAGGGTAAGAGCATTAGTCACCTTACACTCAGCAAAGCATTGTCAATTCCCTTTCCACTACCGTAAAACCACCATTTGACTGACTTCCAATGTGGATTCCATCAACACGACCACCTAAAATGGTAATGCTAGTGAAATGATCCAAACAGTAGGGAAACATGGTAGCTAGGGTTTGGCTAAAAAGGAGGAAAAAGAAAAATCTTAACCGAACCCAAAGCTCTACCTCACATATCCTTTTTCTTTTGGGATAAGATGAGATTTTAAGTATTTCTATTGTGGAAAAATTTCGCCTCAAAACAAGAGAGAAGTACCAGGGTATGATTTTAGTACAACAACACCCCCCTCCCTCCCAAAAAAAAAAAAGGCGGGAAACACAGTTCATGAATTTCACATTGATCATGGAACTGATGTTCTGCAGGCAATTTTATTTTGATTGTGTTAGTTTGTTATCTATGAGTTAGTGGGTGTTGAGGTTAGATAGAGTCCATGCTGGATAACTGTATTTGATTTTCAGGATCTTACTTGTTTATGATTTATGTCTTTTGCCATGATTCATCAAGGATGATAATATTAAAATGGAGTAAATCATTACCACCAAAAGGTGGATGTGAGGCTAAGCTAACCAGACACGTTTACCACACCCCTACACTAGAATGTTTCCATCTGCTTACAATGATATCTTAGCTTATCCTTAACTACCCAATCAATCTTGAGAGCAGATTTACCTTCCTATGTCATGGGTTGAAATAATAAGATCAAATTAGTTGCAAATCTTAAAAACCAAGAATTTGAAACTCTTCATGATACTTGCGCCTTGAGGGTTGAATCTTGTGCTCAAAGTGTGAGGCCTTGTTGTGGCAACCTTGAGCTTGTCATTTTGAACCTTGTTTTCCACCAAAACAAGAGAGATCCCTCACACACATTAAGAATGTTACATAGACTCTGATACATATGTTGGTTTCTATCACGGATATGATTTTCTGAAATGCCAATCTCAAAATCAGGCTTTCAGATTTGCACTCGATGCACTATTTGAAGAAGTGAGAAGGTGGGATTTTAAATGATAGTAATTTTAAAGTGAAATTCTAAGCGAAATGTCTACATTTCTAAAAGGTCAAACATGGGCATCATGTCATCAGTATGTTGACACCTGCCCAAAAAAAATACATGTGTCCATGTCATAAAAGACTCCAACAATTTGATGTTATTAAGCGTGCCCACATCAATCATATGAAGATGAAATAATCACTTTTAAAAAAATATATTCATAAAGAATTAATGTTCTGTGTACGCTTCATTCCAGAGCATGATGTCCCCATTATTCTTGTGATCGTGTCCTCACAACACTTTCAAGAAAAAACCTTAATTGCTGGATTCCCTGAAAGCATGGCCATTCTGTTAATCCCTAGCTTCTCTTTGAGTGTCCAAAAAACCTCACAGATGCCCTTCTGGATACTTCTTTCATCTTTGTCATGGTCGTTCTGAATGCTGTTCTACGTAAACTTCTTAATCAAATAAATCCGCTGTCCTTTCAAATAAAAAGAAAATTCAATGCCAATTATTGTAGGACCTAAACCATCTCCTCAGCCCACATAGGATTGGCATGTTTACAATGGGTAAGCTCTTTGTCCTTTTTGTTTAGCGTACTGCACTTTCTTGGGAATAATGGTCACATGATTTCCTCCACCTTCCAGTTGCGACATAATGAACTTAAAATTTCATGATGAGGCTTTCTTACGCTGAACAAGACCAGATGGTTCATGTTTACGGTCCAGCGTTTGAATTGGCAATGGGCTGCGTCTCAACATTTGATGCCATGCCTATTTCTTACTGAACCACTATTTCTTACTGAACCAGTCATCTCTAGCCATTTCCTACTGACAACTCCCTTGTCCCTAAGAATTCCTGGTAGTTAAAATACTTGAAACTTCAATTCTTCCCCACACTTTGCATTCGATTCTCTCGTTCCAACTAGAATTATACTTATTTACTGATTAGTTTTGTACAAGACGGAGTAGAGCTTTGGAGCGAGGTCTAACAAAGGATTGTGTGCATGTTGAGGCTCATTATCTCCATTTTTTTTAGGAATATGACAGAAGTGGGATGGAGGCTACTTTATTAATAATCAACACACTTGCAAATCTCTTTTTGATTGTTGTTTGTCATACTCTGTTGCTTGGGGTCCTGATAATCTTCATTGAGGTTTATTGGTTAACAAATTGCTTAACAAATGATTAAAATTTCGTTCTCCATTAGTAGAGCGATGGAAGTTTTGTCTCATAAACTATACTTACAAAATTAAAGAAAATGTATGCAACAGCATACTATATGCAACAGCATACTACACCAAGAGGTCTATAAAATTTTATTGCTTTTTTTTTTTCGTTTTTTTCTTTTAATTTTTTTAAGAGAGAGAGAGAGTTCTGAGTTTGACTAAGGCTCATGCTTTCTAGTTATGGTTGTCGGACTTTCTGTCGAGCTCATATATCGAAGGTCTTGAGTGTCTTTTTCTCTCTAGTTTATATCTTGAAAGCTGGAATTGTTCCCAGGCCTACAGAAGTGGTGGAGTCCAACACAGAGTTCACGGAACACGATGTATCAAATGAGATGGTGAAGGGCTCCCTGCCTTTTGAGTCTATTGCACCTGAACCCTTTAGCTTCCCTGGCCTTCGAAGTGATATCGACTCCATCGAGAGAAGCATCATTGGCAGCTTTGACCGCTTTCTAGAGGCTGCAGAGGAGATGAGCAATGACTTCTTTCACAATTTTGGTGCGTCATCTCGACCTCGTGGTGAAATATTTGATCGACTGAGAACACATGATAACTGGCTTGAAAAGGAAAAGGAAGCTCCAAGGGCTAGGGAGAAGCAAACTACCGAAAATGACTATAAAGATTTTGCTGGGCAGATTAGAGAAGTTTGATACTCTCCATATAATCAATTTCATCCATCTTTATATATAGGCATGGAGCTTGTAAAGACTTTGTGATAGTTTGAATGGAGTTTGTAAAGACTTTGTGATAGTTTTTGGATTGAGTTTGCTTGAAGCTTTTTGTAGGACTGAGGTTGTCAGGTTGGGATACATAAGAAAGCTGGAAATTTGTTCACACATGCATTCACTTACCCACCCATGAAAAATGATTGCGAAAAATGTTGCAGTGGTTCCTTGATTGTTGTTGGTCGAATTAAAACTGCAGATCGTGGAAATTGATGATGACCCCTTCATCAATTTGGGGGAAAAAAAACAAAAAAGAACTTGATAATCCTTATTGTCATTTATTCACTCAATGTCTGATCTGCCTTCTCTATAGGACTTTTGCTGCTCCTTCGATTCTGATCTGCCTCATACTGACTCACCGTTCTTGTTCCAAATTTTGATGGATTTTCACCATTTTATCATTGTATGTGTTACAATTCCATTTTCATGGAAATTGGCCTACAAGGCTGTTCAAGAAGTTGAACGGAGCTACAAAAGCATAGTAGATCTGGCTAATTTATGAATTCTTGATGTGGATGGTCCGGAAAAATCGCATTGCAAGATGTTATCTTTTTTGGACCTAGAATCTATTTTCTTGAACAGTCGAATCCACTCTGAGAATTTCTACTTTTTCTTGGGTGGAGTGTTTATAAGAAAATTTATTAAAGGTGACTGGAATTTTTGTTGGTGTTTCATGTTTCATGTGCTTTTTCATGAAAAAGTCTTTGAAAAAACATATTGGTGATCCGGATCTTCATCAGAAAAATTGGTTTGGATCAATGGATCGGCGGTCTGGATTGGCGATCTGGCTAGGTAAACCGGCCAATTAAAAAAAAAAAATAAGAGAACAAAAAAATTTTGAAAATAATAAAAAATAAAAAAGTTGGAGCTGGATTGGCCAGATTCATGACCGGTTTTGTCAAAGAACCGGCTGGTTGTTAAGGGGAATCAAGGGTTCCTAATACATGGTCGAATCAATCTTATTCCCATCAATTCTTGATTTGGATCGGGTGATTTCAATCTAGATCCATATTTTCTTTCTGGGTGCGGTTTGTATAATGTCGAGGCTTTAGACAATCAAATTAAAACCCACCTTCAAATAGTATCAAGAAATGTAGTTTCAATACTAGAAATCTTTGATTAGCGTTAAAATATATTTTCATCTTTAATTATAAAATTTAAAGCTTCATAGTATATATCGAGTTGATCTATGAAAATTTTAATTACTTAAAAATTGACGGTCCAAAATGCATTACAAGATGCACTATTTTCAAAACTTGAAATCCATTTTTTCTCAAGTCCATGCATCTTGATGTGGAGATGATCAATTTGAGTATATTTGGACATCAAAACAACCTCTTCTGGTGAATTTTTTGTGGTAAACTCTAATTTGATTTAGAGCCTAACCTCTATATAAACTTTTCCTTTTTCTAAAACCGTAGTGTTTCATTCAATGTTGGAAAACACTACTCGGGCCGAGTATTCGGCCCATGCCGATTGAGTGCTCGGACCGAGTCTAAGTAATTTGGCCCGAGTAATGCCGAATATTGTAGCAACAAAAAAGTAGTTGAAAATTACAAAAAAAGATACAAAAAAAAATCCAAGAAATAGGAAGGACGTGTATGTTTGGAGTGAGATTAACTAAAACACATCAAAATGAGGTTAAAAAGTAGTAAAAATCTAGATTTTGAAAAATCAACTTGTGACTAGGGATATTTTTGAAACAATAAAAAAAAGATTGGAAAATATAAAAATAAGTATTTATAGCTAAAAAGCTTCCCAATATTTGCCTGAATATTAGAAAACATTAAAAAAAAATTCTTAAATAAATTCTCTATTTTTTAGAATTTTGTATGAATTTCTTTTTAAAACTTTTTTTAAGATCCCCGAGTTGGACATCCAACTCGGGACAACTCAGGCTCGACAATGGCCCGAGCCGAGTAACTCCTCTGAGTAGAAACTTTGTGAACGTTGATTTCATGCATCTTTCTACAAAATGGCTTTCCATATGGTATTGTACACAATGAAACCATTTACCTTTTGTATAGAAAGATCACAGTTACTTACAACCCTTCGATGTGAAATGTGATAGTTTGGGTATATCACAAAGTTCGAAAAAAAAAACTTTGAATTTTGAGCTTGGCCAATAAAATAAATGTCACCACCCAATTTCACATCTATCGGTCAAGATTAATTGTAATCACTTTGTACAAAAGGTCAATGATTTCATTGTATACATTTCCTTTCTATATGAAAGGGGTGCGCATGTTGGTACAGCTGCCGTGGGAGGTTGACAATCTTGTCTTTTTTTCTTTTTGTTTTTTTTTGTTTTTTTTGAGAAACTGGAGGTTCACATATGAAACTCAGACTTCTATGGCGCATTTTTTAATTAATTTGGTGCAATTGTTTGTGACGTGATTGAAAATGCGATGGTGTTTACACTTAATTAATGACTAATACTTCCTTTTCTATATCGCCCATGAAGGATTTAGTGGTTAATTAAACGTATTGCACGCTCTTTTCAACTCTGACAGTGAAGGCTTGCTTATTTCCGGTTTCTTAAATCATAAGAAAATATATTGTTGGGTTGCCTTTCTTTCATTCAATTAAATTCGTACTTTGTCCTGAAAATTAAGTCTAGAAGTGGGTGTATTTACCTCTTCTCGATTAAATGTCAAGACTAGGTAGGATCCCTTTGGAAAGTGAATCGGAGTGGAAATCCTTCGGTTGGGATTCCTAATCTAAGAGGACAAACTGAGGGCTGGCAATGGCCCGGTCCGATTGGCCC